ATAACCCTCAGGCAGTAGAATTCTCCTTTCTGTGTTGCCAAAGAAGGGGGGCTGAACACCTTTTGCAGAGAACACCTTTCTGCGTAGGTGGCCTTCGACCGCACTTAGGGATTATAACCCTCAGGCAGTAGAATTCTCCTTTCTGTTTTGCGAAGAAAAGGAGCTGAACACCTTTTGCAGAGAACACCTATGTATATTTTTAATGCTTATTGGGTTATATCCTATCTTCTTTTGTCTCTCATTCTTTTGCATATTTTGGAGTTTGACAGCTGAACTCCGCCATTTAATTTGCATATGCAACCAAAGTCAGACGCGTGATTTTGAAGGTGTTTTTATTTAATGAATTCTGATTAATTGGTTAATATTAAAGTCGTAAAGCAAGTTATAACTAATCGAGTAAAGTGTAGGGCGAAGTGGAATACATAAATGTATTGGTGAAGTGGCTGCTTTAAGGAGAATAGAAGTGATAAATGTACGCTAATTTCCGCATTTTACAAAAAAGGGCATATTTCAAACCCAATTTTTAAATAAATTGACCAAAATTTACAAAGTGAGTGTTAAAATAATGCGTAGACCCTTGACTACAAAGTGTGTGGAATTTTTTTTTGGATCGGGCCACCCCTTTAGACGGAATAGCCCGAAATAATTGTGAGCGCTATTAAACCCCACCCGATTTTTTTCTCGGGAGAAACAAATTCCCCGAGAACAAACTATCCGGTAGTATTAAGATTTGGCCTGATAATTTTAAAATGTAGGCAAACTTAAAAAAAAAAAAATAAAGCCCGACGAATTGAGAGAACGGTTTTACCAAGGCGAATTTATACTAGGTGGTGTTAATGGCGAATTTGATAGGTGTAATGTCAAAATTTGAGTTCGCCTCAGGTTGTAATGTCAAATGTGACATATCAATTATTGCAAACTGTTTGAAGGAAAGATTACTACGCAATGTAGAATCCTGTTTTATGTTGAAAATACAAAGGTATAGTTGAATTTGCATTTTTTAAATGTATTTATACATATCCTAATTATAATATATTCATTGCAGACAAATTGGGGGAACGATACAAGTGCACGCTGAGTGGCAAGTAGGGATGTGGCCGAGGTCGGAGCGTGGATGACCAATTTGATTGAGTTGGAAATATTGAAATTGCAAATTGCAAAATTTTGTGGCAAAGCTTTTAAAAGAGGTCGGTACGAGTACATATTTCATTATAAATAAAGGGCCAAACCATTATTGCTCCAGAATATTATCAATTGTGAATCATAACTATAACGACGGAATTTTTACAACAGAGAAAGATATTTTTTAACATACATAACTTATGTATAAAATTCCTTTCATTTAACGTTGAGACTGTTGGAACAGGTTCTTCCCAGTGTGCCACTTCCTCTTTTACAAATAATGGAGTGACCCTAAATAATTCTGCGATAATGTTGAATTTATAAAACTAGATTTATTATATGAATGCATTTGCGAGTTTATTAAAAGTTTTGAAATTAAAGTTTTCAATAAAA